AGACCTCTTTTGATCAGTCAATTCTCCAACTTTTTGACAACGAGAAAGGCCTAACGAAGTGAAGATATTTACCATCACAGTAAAACGTGAGTCAAGTGTTTTGAGCGCCTGCTGTCTTCCTCATTTTAAAAAAAATTTAGGAGTGAAAGATGGCTAAGTTTTTATGAATCTTCTCCATCAGTTTCGCGTTCTACTCTGAAAATCTTTATCAATAAAATGCAGTTTGAGAGCACCATCAATATTGCGTTCACTAAAGGATGTTATTTGATGCAATATGAAACAATTACGTAAAGGATAAATGAGGTCGAAGTGAAATCCCGGTAAAGTGTAGCGAAATAATACGTAATACAAATTGTAATGGAAATAAATAGAAAAATGAAAATTTAAAAAAAAAGGTTTTGAAGAAAAGCCAAATAAAAAGCTTTAGCGGTTCATCAGAATATAGTAACCGGATCTGCAAACAAAAATAATAAACGGTAATCAGAAGAAGAAAAAAGTTTGCTACACTTTCTTCACCGTAATCAGCAAAAAATTAATTGCACTCAGGAAGAACTTGAAATGTAGATAGAGAGCACTGATGATAGAAACATTAGCATTGAAATTTCCCTTATTTTTTTTGGTGTACACAGAATGGATCGTATTATTTTTAGAACTCTTTTGTTTAGATAAACTAATTGTACAGTAGTTTTGACGATGATTACACCTTCTGTCAGGACATCTGCAAATTTAGTTTCTGTATACAAACATATTTTTTCTTTTGGCTGCTTTGGCTGTGTAATTTTACAGAACGTGTGATTACGAAAAGGAAACTTTATAAGAGAGTAACCTCAGGTCTGCCAGCCACTGTTACTCATCCCATCAAATGCCTTAGGGATAGTATTGTGATGAACATTACTTAAACGTCTACATTAAAAAGTCTTTCATTATTGTCACACTTTTACTGAAGTGTGAAAATACCAAAAGACGTCTCCTTCTAAATTTAACAAAAAGTTAACTTGAAGCACATAAGACAAAAGTCTATATGGTCAAGATCAAAAATCATTCTGACAAAAGTCAAAATTCAACCGAGAAAGCCAAAAAAAAGCGGCCATGCTCTTTTTTAAGTTGCCTGCCAGTTGGTTTTTGAAGCACAATGCCGCGCACTTTCAAGAGCACGCTTCTGAAAAAACAGGTAAGAAAGTGCCAAAATGTTTACAAATGTGAGTTTCTGGAATGTGCAAAAAATGCAAGAACTTTCAAAACTATATTTTTTGATTTTTTATCAACGCTTAGGATTGCTCGATAGAAAAGCTGAGCTGTTAAAAAGGCATTGAGATGCGTAAAAATAAGGACGATAAAACTAAAGCCAGAAGGAATGTTACTCGTCTGAATTGATGTAATAAGTTCTATTTTTGGAGCGGGTAAATTTTAAACATTTCGTTAAAGTGAAGACCATAAATTAAGCTTAGTTCAATTTGAATATTTATTGAAGCAGGAATATAATGTAAAATATTTTGTTAATTCCCCGTAGAGGTGAACAGAAGTCGAACTGAGTACCAGTTTTATTCTTTCCCAGATGAGTTAAAGTTTGTAGCGAATAAAGTTAGTAAGTCTTTTAAGATCTAAATCATCATGGTGTTTTCAAAGTTTAAGTATAAGTGCATATTATTAAATAAGTAAATCAAAATTCAGTTTTGAAAATAGTTCCTCACATGATAATCAAACCAGAAAAACGCATCTAGGCTAGAGTTGTCCTCATCTTCTCCGCTAGTTGTAGCAATTACTTTGGCCTGATTGAAATCCTCCATGGAGGCCCATTATTCCGTGTAAAATTTGATTGGAATACAGTCACTTTGAAGAATGTCACCGTTTTTTTTGTTTAAAATATCAAAAGCCCCTTTAGCAATTAAGTTCGTATGAAATTCAACAAGACACTGCTCAATTTTTATAATAATAACATAAGCGAAAAATTTGACTGGTCACCGTTTTCGTTGCAAACCATTTGGGATAGTTTCTTTTGCTTTTTTTTCTCATCATCTCCATCTTGTAATGTGCAAAATTCAGCAAAAGTTCTATTTAAACACCACTATGCCGGAGATTAAGCGGAAGAAGTTGAATATGGAAGGTAAAACTAAAATTAGTTTTCCTCAGGCCAGATATGAACATCATACAACTCGTGGTAAGCAACGATAAATCTTAGATGTCCTTTCTGAACACTGACTTCAATGACAAAAAAATTTGCTTTGTTGTAGGGTCTCAGGAGGAGCCTTTATCACTAGAACAAGGACGTAAATTACTATTCCAGGCGGTAGTTTAAAAACATGGAGAAAAATAGGAGAGCATGTAAGTGAAGAGTACTGCGTTTATGTTCATTTCACTTCTGTGCATCATAGAAGCTTCAAAATACATCGACAACAATGCTCGTTACGGTCTTTGACCTGAATAAGTGCTCACTGCTAAGGTTTCTGAGGAGTTGTTGTGATGATTGTTGCCGAACAGCTCAAGCTGCTTTCACATGAGAAATAGAGTGAAGACTTAAAGCAGGGACTTACTACTCTATTATCGTCTTTAAAGAATAAGTTATATAAATAAAAAGTCGCTTCAATCAGACTTGCATTTACGAATAGCAGTGACAAGAAATATGTTTTATTCGGCAAACAACTTATTTAGTAAATTAGAGCCGAAATGGTCCCAAATTTAAATGTGTTTGATAACAGTCCAAAGGTAATAAAATCAGCAAAAGTCTTAACTCCTTAAACCAAGCAGATTATATTACTGATAAGAATACTCAAAGAGTGACAATACCGTAATTACTCTGAAAGATCATTTTGCTGCCATAAAAACCTGTTCCAAAAATTTTTGACCTAATAATAACTTTAAATTCCTGTTTTACTTATTTGTCAACGTACAGTATGACGAAATCATTACAAAATTAAGAAATTGTGAAAAATTATGAAGACCTGCAAAAAAACTTTTTGGACATTTTATAGGCATTTCTAGAAAGCCATGTAGCCAAAAAAAGAGGAAACGCTATTAAAAAGTTTTTTTCACTAAGTGCATAACTTACCGTCGTTCATGTTCTAAAAATTGTAGATCTCCACTCAAGCCGTGTTTGGCAGCTGAAGAGGTTTGGGCCTCTCATCCTTCCAAATACACTGTTGCAGGTGTAAAGTGGTTTTTGCTCACTCAAAGGGACGCTGAAAAATGCCTCAAAGAAGAAATGTATTTCACTTTGATCATTTTACTTTGATGAGAGCCATATTTATGAGTCTTTTTTGCACTGATGCATTCTCATTACAAAATTTTGTCACCACTTGGTCTTTGAGTTCTTTTTTATTCAAAAGTTATTTTCAATGTTAACATAGTTACATAAATTGTTTTCATCAGTTCATCATTGCAACCTCTCTAATAACTTATCAGTACAAACAGTATGAACCTTTTTGATGTAGAAAATTATCTTTGCAGGGTAAGATTTACATCCGTTACTCCATTATCTATTTCCAAGAAAGATTTCAAGAGCAAATAGTTGCTTCACTCAAACCTGGATTTTAAAGAAAAATAATAGGAAAAACTGTTTTCTATTAAAGAATTAACTGGTTTGGCAGCTAGAGTTGAGGTGGTTTTGAACTCTTCAGCTTTTACGTATATGCTTGACAATAGTTTGAAGGCAACAAGAAAAAGTGTTTTTTGGGTTCATAAAGCCAAATCAATAAATGTACTGATAAGAATGTACTATTTTAATTTGCAAATTACTTGTTAGCTGTATGACTTAAAAAATTAACTTCCAAGAGAAGATGACGAAATAAAATACCATAAAATGGCCATCTTCTACTGCAGTAGACGTTCGGAAGAGAAAAATTCATCGAGAAACAGTTCTTTTAATCAAATTTTCATCCAGAAAAAGCAACTACGAAAAATCACCCTTCCGTCAAAAAACAACTTATTTGACAGTCAAAGTCAAAAATGAACTTGAATTTTAAACTCATCACGCAAATACCTGTTTGAAGTCGCAAAGAAAAATAATTGGTTTTTTTAAAGCTTTCAAGCTATATCGATCAATTTGAAAACATGAATGTTCGAAGCAGATATAAAAATACTGTAGAAATTTTAAATGAGAACCTTGTTGCTACTGAATTTTTCGTTTAAAATTTTTGCTAGACTTGGCAACTCGCAGTTTCTCCAAAGACTGCAGTTGAGAGCTATGAAAATAGTATAAAAATTAGAAGTTGCATAGATGTGTTCAGAAACAAAGAAGTAGTTCGTAATTTGACACTGTTGCACTTGAGTACGACCACCCCTGAAAGTACCTTTTGCGTCATCTACTTAACAGTATTTCGCTGACAAAGCTGCATTTTGAAACGCCATAAAGTTATCGCCAAATTTTGTCACAAGAGCTTAAAAAAAATTAGAGAGAGCTTTAAAAAGAAGTTTAAAATTATTAGCGACTAACCAAGTTGAAAACCTCATCTACAAAAAAATGAAGTTGAGTAAGCTGTAAAGAACAGCACTTGCAAACGGTTGGATGTATTTTAGAGGTGAATTAACATCTCTGCCCACTTATAGCTT